TCCTGCTTATGATTTAAGGTAATTCTAAGAACATATTTCTGTTTTAACATTCTGTATTCATTCGACAGACAGAACTTTGTTCTGGTCGTTGATTAATAAAAATACAATCAATAAAATGAAAATAATTTCCTAACAAGAACTACTATCAACCATAATATAGCAAAAATTTGCTACTTTTAAATAAATAAACTTATCTTTGATTAATAGATAGTGCAGATAAAAACTATTAGAGTCCCCCAGGAATTTCATTAAAAGAAATTGATCACCAGTTAATCCACTGGTGACAAATGTCCCTATAGAACTGGCAATACCGAACAACATAGGCTGATGTTTCTATGGTGCCTACATCAGAGAGGCAGTATTGGGTTTCATATGGGATTTCCTGTATTTCTCTTTCAGGACAGCTGTGGGAGGAACATGAAATCAAGCTAAAAATAAAGCTCTCCTAAATTTGGGAACTGTGATATGATATAAATATGTGGCAGGTTCAGGTACTAAAATTTGGTTATTTACAGTTACAATATAATTGAGAAGATTATGAAAGAAAGCAGCAATTTCTGTTTGACCTTCTCTAAGATTCTTTGCCCTAGTATTGATCTACCATGATTTAACTCTAAGGTTAAGATGGCATCACTGGAGAAACTATACAGATTTGGCCCACAGATGCTTTTTCATGAGACAATGGACTTTCTTTTTTTCTTTGAAGACGTTTCACTTCTCATCCAAAAGATTCGTCTAAAAGAATGCAAATGACCAGCTGTCTGCAAAGAGTATAAATCCTTCCATTCCCCACCATCCAATCAGAGCTGAAGAAGCTCCTTGGATGAGACATGAAATGTCTTCAAGGAAAAACAAGAAAATCCAGTTCCTCGTGAAAAAGCACCTTTGGGACAACCATGACCTGGATGACTGAGAATCTCCATAGACATATACAAATTCATTTTCTTTTGAATCAGTTTCCCAGGAAGATTTGTAGTTGTCTGCCAAATATGACATTGGTCAGTTCATTAAGGTTAGGGTTTGAAACCATTGCCCTTTAGCCAATCTTGTGGTTCCCCTGAAGAACACTTTGGCTCTCCTTTGTTAATTCTTCAACAAAAGCAGTGTTTCATTTTAATTTTTACAATAAAGTTATGATTTTGGTTTGCCATCTTCTGTTTTCTTCAATTAATTGTGCCGGTTCTGTTTTATAAACAGTCATAGACCTTCATTGATTGATACTTTCATTACTGCACACGAAAAAGGAAGATCAATGAGTTTCTCCAGGAGTGGTACATGACATATATGCCTAGAATCCATTACTACAATAAATGACTCCAGAATCCCTGTTAGAGGAGGCCAAGCTATCCTTCAGAGTTAGACTCTTTTCATGGAAATAGTCTGAGGTTTTCTTTCTCTTTAAGACTACATACCGATTCCCTATAAAGTATAACCTGAAATCTTATGTATCTTAGCTTAAATTGGTAAGATAACAATTTGACAAGCATTGATTCTTATAAGATTACCAAAGGAAATGTGCAGGGTATGCAGCAAATACAAAGACTTTCTTTTTTTAACAAACCTATCACTAGTCTGCATATAACAGCAATTATAATAGAACATGATATTCTGAAAAGCTTATTCTTTGCCTGCACTATATCTTTTTATCCTGGTAGCAAATCTTGCCAGGTTTTAATTGGGCATTGTATCAGATATATTCAGCATGACTGCATAAATTTGTTTTAGGCTGTACTAAAACTACATCACACAGAAAGCAAGGTCAGAAGTTAGCTCTTAAAAGCAAGGAATCGATATAGTACTGATTTCATTTATTGAAAAATGATGCAGAATTTCCTCAGTTGCAGAAAGCCTGGCAAATGCCAAAGTGAGGCAAGGAAAGAGCAAATTGGAAACAATAGATTGTTGTTGTTAATTGCGAAGTCGTGTCCGACCCATCGCGACCCCATGGACAACGTTCCTCCAGGTCTTCCTGTCCTCTACCATTTTCTGGAGTCCATTTAAGTTCACACCTACTGCTTCAGTGACTCCATCCAGCCATCTCATTCTCTGTCGTCCCCTTCTTCTATTGCCCTCAATCTTTCTCAGCATTAGGCCTTTCTCCAGTGAGTCCTTCCTTCTCATTAGGTGGCCAAAGTATTTGAGTTTCAACTTCAGGATCTGGCCTTCTAAAGAGCAGTCGAGGTTGATCTCTTCAAGGACTGACCGGTTTGAATGTCTTGCAGTCCAAGGGACTCGCAGGAGTCTTCTCCAGCACCATAGTTCAAAGGCCTCAATTCTTTGGCGCTCAGCCTTTCTTATGGTCCAACTTTCACAGCCATACATTGCAACTGGGAAAACCATGGCCTGGACTATACGCACTTTTGTTGGCAGGTGATGTCTCTGCTTTTTAGAATGCTGTCTAGATTTGCCATAGCTTTCCTCCCCAGGAGCAAGCGTCTTTTAATTTCTTGGCTGCAGTCCCCATCTGAGGTGATCTTGGAGCCCAGAAAAATAAAATCTGTCACTACCTCCAGTTCTTCCCCATCTATTTGCCAGGAATTGAGAGGGCCGGATGCCATGATTTTGCTTTTCTTAACGTTGAGTTTCAAGCCAACTTTTGCACTCTCCTTCTTCACCCGCATCAAGAGGCTCTTTAGTTCCTCTTCACTTTCTGCCATTAGAGTGGTATCATCTGCATATCCTAGGTTGTTGATATTTCTCCCGGCAATCTTAATTCCAACTTTTGTTTCATCTAGCCCTGCCTTTCTCATGATGTGCTCTGCATATAAGTTAAATAGATAAACAATAGATAGTAGTTGGGAATTTCTGACACCCAATAATCTCTAAGGAAAACAGAGTGAAATCCCTGGCAAAGGAACTGCAGAGAAGACAACTGCAAAACCATGCATTTGAGAAATTTGATTTTTCAGCAGTACAGGTACCCCTCAATTTACAACTATTTATTCAACAACTATTCAAACTTAACAATTGAAAAAAAGGCCTTATGACAGTACTTGCACTTACAAGTGTGGCAACATCCCTATAGTCCCGTGATCAAAATTCAGAAGCTTGCCAACCAGCATGTATTTACGATGGCTGCCGTGTACTAGGATCATGTAATCTCCATTGGTGACCTTCCCAGCCGGTTTCCAACAAGCAAGGTCAATGGGGGAAAACTTGATTTGCTTAACAACTACAATTCAGTTAACAACAAAAACAGTCAAAAGTCTAGCTGAATGAGGAAACTAGAACATTTAATAAGAGGCAGTAATTCAAACCTTTATATTTAAAAAAAAAACAGAGTGAAAGAGTCTTGTCCCTTTGGTAAATTATTTGGAATTATCTTGCTATTTAGATATGTTTGAAGTAGAGACACCCTATAGATTTCCACATTCCTATAGAAAGCAATGCTGCAAGGGCTAATAAATCTGTAAAAATGTGATTCTATCTTCAGTTTCGGTATGTACATTTTTGCTTCATATAACTATACTACTAGACTATGATGTATTTCTAACTGAACACTATTTAGAGACCATTCAAAATACTATACTGTATGCACACTAAAATATTTCTCCAATACAGGCATTTCTTGACATCCATAATGTAAAACCTCTATAGACCAGAAGCCAAAAGAAGAAATGGCAGAAAGAGATTTTATTATTCTCCTAACTAAATTCAGTACTTGATAATGTATGCCTGGATTTGGAAATCTCTATGATCTTTCCAAAGCATCTTCCTACAGATCAAAAGAACAGAAAAATCATATGACACAAATTAGGGCCATCCCTATCTTTGAAGGGGCACTTTTATTTTGCTATAACTGTTCGTTATTAGTTTTTTTTAAAAAAAAATTCCCTGTGGAAAGAAAGCTAGTATCACAACCTGCCTATAATAAGCGAAAAAGAGCAGAATAAATTTTGTTTGAACTGTCAATGAAAGAAAGCATTTGTTAAAAAAAAATTAACTATGCTTAACTTGCATTCACATATGTGATCTGAGCACCCTCTACTGTGTAAAATTATTCACCGCAGAAATAGAGAATTAATGCTACCACATTATTCCAGAGCTATATTTCTCCAATGTAATCTTTCTTCTAGCCACCTTATCAAAAATATTTGGCCCCACCCATGATAAAAAAAAATCCCCAAGGAAGACATGTATTCAGTGCTAAGAAAGACAGTAAGAAAAGATTATAATGGTGAAAAGGTAAACCTACTTCAAAGGAAAACAAAAATATAGACATGGTGGAATAAAAGTACTCCTGCATACAAAATGCAGTTTTGAATCCTATTCACCCTCCTTATCTCACTCCTCTTCATTGCTTACAACTTCCTTACATTAACTATTATGGGAAGGTAAAGTTAGGCAACCCCTTACCAGCTCACTTCACATGACACTGACTGGAATGATACTTCAACTTTTGCTATGAATACAAACTTAACGAAGAAGAGGCTAAAGACCCTTGATCACACACATAGCCTTATGCTGTCCTGTATCTTGGGAACAATCACTTACATAAGTGTCATCTATCTTCCATAGCAGCCATAGGTATGGATAATGTAGATCAGAGGTCCCCAACCTTTTGGGCACCAGGGATCGGTTCTGTGGAGAAAGGTTTTTCCCTGTATCCCGCGGATGGGGCTTTGCTTGTTTGTGAGGACCGGCTGATGGTATGCCGCAGCCCAGTACTGGTCCACGGACTGTGGGTTTGGGGACCCCTAATGTAGATGTTCTCAACCAGGCCATCATTAATGAAACTTATACTCAGGGGTAAATTGAGGGGGGGAAGGAGGGGGCAGGGGGAAATTGATAGCTTTTTGGCAATAATTTAGCAGAACTCCATTCTCAGTATTAATGTGTAGGTGTTTCCTAGTTTGTGCATACCTGAAAACATTCCACAAATAAAAACTTTAAGTATATTTTAGGAAATGTACCAAATAGTTTGTTGTTGTTTTTTTTTAAAAAAACCAACAAAACATATCCAATATAAAACAGGGTCTTAATAGCTTAAAAATAGTTACCTTTATTGAAGAACATGGAGGCCATCTGACCCATTTCTACCCTTTCTGTGATTTCAAAAATATTAGGTGCTCCTCGTTTCTCTGAAAATTAGAAGGAACTTTTTAGACCTATAAGTCCAAGCTATTCATATTGTAAACCATTTCCTTCACAGGTAGTCTTCAATTTATAACCATTTGTTTAGCTATTATTAAACGTTACAATGACACTGAAAAAATGACTTATGACCGGTCTTCACATTTGCAACTATCACAACCTTCCCACAGTCATCTGATCAAAATGCAGCCACCTGGCAACCAGCATGTATTTACAATGGCTGCTGTGTCGTGGGGTCACATGACCACCATCTGTGATTCTACCAGCCAGCTTCCAACAAGCAAAGTCACTGGGAGAAGCTGGATTCGCTTAACAACCACGTGATTCCCTTATTAACTGCAATGATTCAATTAACAACTGTAGCTAAAAAGGACTTAAAATTGGGCATCACTCACTTAACAACTGCCTTGCTTAACAATGGAAATTCTGATCCCAATTGTGGTTATATGTTAAGGATTACCTGTATGTTGTTTATGAAGTACCAATATACTTGTAATAAAAAGAAACATTACAATAGATGCATATTTTTAAATTCATTTTAAACTGTTTTATAGTTAAATTGTTCAATCTCCTCTTGTTTTTCATTTTTTAAATTATTCCTTTGGTTGTACTACTGAGAAATATATTTGATTAATTATGGGCCAGAATTAACAAAAAAAAGTATCTCCTTCTTCCCTCTCTGAAGAAGAACAGCTGCTTAAACAGAAGAATGGCTGAAAGATTTGGTTGATGATCTAAAAGAGTAAGTAACAGGGAGGGGAAAAGCTATATTCACCATTTTAAAGATTTTTCTCCCCATGATTTACAAATTTTAGATTTTTTTTTATTTATAAAGGTAAACGTGCAAAACATGGAGTAGAATGTTTTGGAGCTCAGACAGAGTTTTGATGTTCTGGTTCAAAACATTAATATTTCATTATCCACAATAATCAGTTTTTAAAATTTGACAAACAACATGACACAGATATGAAGCACAGTAAATAATTTCAGGATGACATAAGCCATTAGAACTACACTAGAGAAATAATCCACTATTTCTACATAGTTCTTATAATATTCAACAAGATCAGTCCACAGCAGTCTTATGGAGAAACTTACACGAGATTTTTTTTCACTATTGCTAATGCAAGCTTAAAACTGAAACTGCTTATCTTATACTTTCCGTTTAGTATAAAGAAACCAGTCCTATTGTTATACTGTAATGCACAGTACAGAACCGTATCTTGAATTTATCAAAGCAGGTGGAATTTTTGGAATGAAATGTGAAACACTTGTTTTCACAAACCGTTCAAAAGCAGATATTCAGTAAAGTTTATTTAGCAACAATATTTTCTTTCCTGTTGATATGATATTAATTCAGGACATGAGGAAAGAAGGAAACTAGAGTTAATTAACAGTTAAACTCTGTAACTTTTGAGAAGGAAAGAAAGCAACATGTACAGATGCTCTCTTCAACTGTTTTGTACCAAGACTGAAAATTATTCTATAAATGTCTCAAGCAAATATGCTAGTTGGAAAGGAGCTGTCATGGGGGAACTTGGAAGATTATAATCTGGAGAATATGGAAGATTATAATATTGATACAAAGCAAAAGTAATTCAACAATGAGCTTGTTTGATATGAGAGCCTGAAAAAATTTAAATTCCTAGCTCCCATTTGCTGGCAGAGGCTTTGTACTACACAAGGAATAGATCCAGCTTTTGGCAAATCCCTGTTTACTTGGAATCTGATGATGACATGTAACAAAAGGCAAGAGAAAAGGGAAAAGAAGAAAATCAAGCAGCACTCAAACAAAATGCCCCAAACAAAATAAAATAGAAAAAATGCATTATTTGTTCTACGCAATTAAAAATAATCCTATAGATGCTGCAAGAGTAAGAATAAATTCAAACAGATTTTAAGACTAATGAGTTTCCATCAAAGTTACTAAATATTGATGAAGGATAATAAAGAAAAAACAAAAATTAAAGGGAATAAGTGGTTTTATAGTTTTGTCTGATGGTTTTATGTATTGATAGCAAGTACTGCAGCAACAATAAAAAGCAGTTTAAGTGGTTGTAAAATCTTCAGTCCAAGCTGGAGCAGTAATTGAAGTCAAGAGGATAAGTCATACACACAGACCAAAGAAATTGGCTTCTAAACAATTTGAACGATGATTTTATTCTAATAAAAAGATGATGTTGTATGTTTCTGACTGCTGTTATACACTGCAATTACATAAAAATGAGCTATAAATAAGCCCACCAAATTTAAAGTAGAATATGATAAAGTTGGGAGCCTACTAAATATGATACTGTATCTAAGCTTGATAAAAAAAATGGAGTAGAAAGTTACTATCCTGATTTCAAATAGTGAGCTGACGAATCATTGATACTGATGCAACAGAGCAGTTATTTTCTAATACATATATCATTATTAGAATAAATTTATCTGGGTCACTTATACAGCAGTAGTATCAATAAAAGAAAAACTAAAACCAGGGAGAGCCAAGCTAGCCACTCAGGGGAAGAGAGATTGCCAGTCTTGATGTGATCTTCTGTTCCAACTGATCTAGCGCTTTTGAAGGATTTGGTAATCAGATTATCAGGGAACATGGCCTCACAATGTTGTGGATTAATCTTCTGCAATAAGACCACCTTCATTCATTATTTAATGATGGACAAGTAGGGAGATCTGGAGTATATTACTGAAGCCTAAGTGAGGATAGGGATGTTCTCTGCTCTGAGTTATCCAACTGTGTATCCAACATTGCAAAGAAGGACAAAATATGTATATCAGATCATTGTTGCATACAATGTGGCCTGGAATAACAAAAATAATTTTTAAATATGCATTTTGGTCATCTGCAAAAGAACAAGCTTTCTACTTTGATAAATTATTTTTTTCCATTAAATATGGTTTGCAAAGTATTCCTAATGTTTGATTTCACGATGCACTTGTCTTATTTACAGAAAGGTCAAATAAAGGATAAGGATCTTTTTTCACTTGTCTTTGGCATTAACAAAAACTGTAGAGAAAGACTGATTCTTGTATATTATCAAGATGAAAGTAGAATCAGCTACTTACGCACAGACAGAATTGGCCGTGTTTCTGATCGTTCATAAACATCTGGGTGAACTTCACTATCAGAAATTTCAGATGAAGAATCTTCTTCATCATTATTATCTTCCTAGAAGAGAAAGACATTAATCTAGATCTACAAAAATGAAGGATTATTGTAGAATTTTGACAAGTAAAAGAAAATTAAGAACTAAATTAAAAATGCATTTACTAGCTGAAAAAAGCAAAACTCTTTAGCTGTGGGTCTTTAAAATGCTTAGAATTTCAGTTCCTATTGAATATCCAATGTAGCGAGAGAGAGAAACGCTGTTTTCAACAAAAGTGCAGAATGATAGGGAACTTATTGTTGTATTTTAAGGGCAGACACAAGAGCAATATTAAAATTTTCCTACTATATTACTTTCCTACCATGTAACAGTATGATCGAAGTGATATCAGATTAAGACATGCCACACAAACCTTGTGCTTTTCCATTCTCTTTAAATGAAGCTGAGCATTTGCTGCAGCCATGGCTTCCATTACAAAAGTTGTGGTCATGTAACTATAAGAGAATTAAAAGATATCAAATTATTTAAAACAAAAATGAATCACAGTATCCCATTTATATGAACACATTTATTTAAAAGCTCTGTTCTGAGGAGTTTTCAGGCAATGCTGACTATAGAAAGCAAAGTCAGATATAATGCGGGCAGCCAAATATGCTTTGTATAGAGCAGAGGTGAGACTTTAATTTTTACACTTAGTATCAGTGGAGATTTGGAGAACTCAAGTTAGTTTATCTACCAATTCTTAGCTTCCCTTGACACTTTACTTTTCTTCCAGCCAGCTTCAATGGTAGGAGTCAAATGGTAAGGTTTAATAGAATTAACCTGACCAAAATATTGTAGCACTGGATGGAAAGACACCTATGGAAAATGCAACATTATATGTAGAATGAATTTGTGACAGATTTTACTCCAACATTTCAAAGAACTATAAAACTGAATTTAAAGACAGGATAGTGTATGAAATGAGTCAGTGGTTCACATAAAACGCTATATATTAAAGATTGAAAATACTTTTTAAGATCTACTAAGACAATAGCTGGGAGTAAGTGATTCTTCAATAAGAGATCAATATTACAATTTGATTTGTTGAGCTTTGATCCACTTTAGCTATTTTGCTTATTTTTAGCAAAAATGAGCAAAGGATAGAATAATATAAACCTCAAGAATAATATTTTGCTGCTTTACAATTTGAACTAATTTACAAAAATTGAGTGAGAAATCAGTTCTGTTAAGATTAATATATAGTAAGTATTCCCTGGGGTCTAGATAATGATTCCCCCTAAAGGCTTTTTACTATATCAAACATACTTCAAGGATATCACGGATTCAGAAATTCTTATAGAGAAATGAATGTATCAGGGTAATATTGCAGGAAACATTTCCAACTTGACAGCAGTAAGAAAAATTACAAGGACAATATAATACAAATACTACAAATAATTACAAATTGGAACAGAGCCTATTAATATAAAGAAATGAACAGGAAGAAAAATCAAAGGAAATTATAGATAAGCTGTAAGTTTTTAAAATAATATTTCTTACAAAGCTCAGAAGCAATCAATAAAGATTTATGCTTTCCATCCAAAGAAACCATAACTTTTTCAATGCCTTCAGTAATAATTTATAACATTAATTTGCAAACAACTCAGTCTCAACTGAGGGAGAAAAGATACCTGAAAATTGATTTAAAGAAATACTATTACAATGGAAGGTAATGATGCTCACAGTAGAACAATTAAATGTAGGCATAAATTGTAAATAATTAATTGCATTCATCTAATACAGGGGTGTCAAACTGCCGGCCCGCGGGCCGGATGCATCATAGCAAAACCGTGCTTACCCCATTGCCGGCAATGGCAAAAAAGTTGCAATATATCGCAGCACATCATGTGACATTGCGAGTTTGACATCCCTGATCTAACAAGGCCACAAATTTAAACTGACCATTAATGACCACAGTGTATGGAAAGCATTTAAGAGGGGGACTAAGTCATTTTTTTATTTGCATCTATTTTCGGAGGGTACAGTAGAGCAGGGCTTTTCAACGAGTGGTACGGGTACCATCTGTGGTACACTGGCACCTGGCAGGTGATACGCGACCATCCTAGAAAAGTGGTAGCGGGGGAGGGGAATGAGTTGAATCGATGGCAGCCCTGGACAAGCCTGAGCGAGAGATGGCTGGAGCTGCAGGGCTGTCAGGGCTCAGCGGAAGCGCCAGGATCAGTGCCGCTTTCCAGCTGATTGGCGCTTCTTCGGGGCTGTCAGGGCTTAGTGGAAGCGCCAGGATCAGCGCCAGGCTCCAGCTGGAGCTCGGCGCTGATCCTGGTGCTTCTGCTGAGTCCTGAAGAAGCACCAATCAGCTGGAATGTTGCCTTATCTCCAGGGTCTTGTGATTTACATTCAGATGCTTGGCAACTGATTCATATTTATGACAGTCACAGTGTCCCAGGGTCATGTGAAGTGACCAAAACCTGCTGCAACCACCCATCAGACGGGGGGAATAAAAACCACACCCCCCCACCCCACCCCTGCTGCCAATCCTCAACAGAAATGCTCACAACAATGAAAACCTCGGACAGGAGGAAGAGCGCCGCCGGGTGGGCAGGCAGGTATCTTGCTCAGCTGTGGCTTGGGGGGCACTTTTTTCAGTGCCCTTATAACTTCGAAAAGTCACTAAGTGAACTGTTTTAAGTCGAGGACTACCTGTACTTTATCACTTTTTTCTGGTTTTCTTTTTTTTTTTTGGGTCATCAAGTTTTTGACACCTTGCTAGGCGACTGGTGGTACTTGAATATTGCCATATCCTAAAAGTGGTACAATGGATGAAAAGGTTGAAAAGCCATGTAGTAGAGAACAAATTATTGCATGTTCTGTGCATTTTTAAAGCTCATTCAGAAGTATAAAACTGATCCATTACCATGAATTCTCTATATTTAATGGAAACATTCAGGGGAGAAGTGAAATATATATTTTTTATTTTGCCCAACATGAAATCTTTGCCTCCCTACTCTGCTTAAGGGGGCATTACTGGTGGGGGGTGGGGGAAGAACTATATCATCTAGAGCAGGGCTTTTCAACCTTTTCACTCATTGTACCACTTTTAGTATATGGCAATATTCAAGTACTACCAGTCGCCTAGCAAGGTGTCAAAAACTTGATGAGCAAAAAAAAAAAAAAACAAAACCCAGAGGTAGTCTATTTGTTCAAAATCAAAACTACATTATTTCATTAGTGATTGTTGAGGTTTTGCCTAAAATGCCTCTAAACTGCTTCTCTAATGGGAAAAAAATATAGCCATCATGTCTTGTATATCTGGAAAAATGTTGCATAATACTTTCAAATGAAAAATCTATCCAGTAGCTAAATTCAATGGGTGCTTATATCTAAACTAAATGGCAGATTATTGGATTGTTGAAAATAACATTACCCAGTATGTACCAATAACCAATACATAAAACTTTTTCTTATTTAATGTTAATATGGCTTTCATCCATGGATGTTTAAAGTAGCATACAGCAACGAAAATTAAATTTTAAAACATCAGCAAAAAGTTAAAGGGCTATACTCAAAAAGCAATCTAGGGGACATTAAAATTGAGAGAAAAATATAGGAGAAAATGTTTTCCAGACTTTCTGTAAAACAAATATAACTGCAAAGGCAATCATGTACATATATGCATATACTGTATCTATATTTATTAATTCTCCTTTCTTCACCTTTGCCAGTCTACTTTGCACATCTACAAAAGGCCTACCGGTATGTTATGCAGATTCATTATTCTATTGCCATCTATATTCGACTTGCTTCATTATTTAACCATCAAACAAATTGTTAAGTTTGCATCCATTAAAAATAGGGAAGAATATGCTAAATGACAATTCCTTTAATAATCCTTTTCAGTATCTAGTTCAAAGCCAAGATTGTTATGGGAAGCCTGATCATCACAATATAAAAGACAGCAGTGCCAAAACTGTATCAGCCATTGGACTAATCCAGTAAAGGGCTATACTCAAAAAGCAATCCAGGGGACATTAAAATTGAGAGAAAAATATAGGAGAAAATGTTTTCCAGACTTTCTGAAAAACAAATATAACTGCAAAGGCAATCATGTACATATATGCATATACTGTATCTATATTTATTAATTCTCCTTTCTTCTCCTTTCTTCACCTTTGCCAGTCCACTTTGCACATCTACAAAAGGCCTATGTTATGCAGATTCATTATTCTATTGCCATCTATATTCGACTTGCTTCATTATTTAACCATCAAACAAATTGTTAAGTTTGCATCCATTAAAAATAGGGAAGAATACGCTAAATGACAATTCCTTTAATAATCCTTTTCAGTATCTAGTTCAAAGCCAAGATTGTTATGGGAAGCCTGATCATCACAATATAAAAGACAGCAGTGCCAAAACTGTATCAGCCACTGGACTAATCCAGCTTTTGGGAAACAAAAACACAAAGGCAGTGGATTTGCACAGCAACAAAACACTTAATAAAATCCTAAATATAAATATGAATATCAACTAATACAGTGGTGGCAAACCTATGGCACGCGTGCCAGAGGCGGCACCCGGAGCCCTCTCTGTGGGCACACACCATCGCCCCAGCCCCGTCTCCTCCTACAGCCCCCTCCTCACCAGCAGCCCTCCAGAGGAGAGTCACCCCCGAGCACAGCCCACCACGAAGCAGCACAGCCAAGGACATGGTAGCTAGGCAGCGGGGACAAGACTCCGCCCTTGTGCCCCGTTGTGCACAGATGATGCTGCAGGGCTTGGGCGGATGGTGTGGCCATGGCGGTGCTGGGCTACCTGGGTGATCTGTGGCAGGCCGTGGAGGTGGTGGGTGGCCCAGCGGGCACGGCGGAGTGGGGACAGGAGTGGGGGGGGCGTTTTGGGGCACTTGGTCTCTAAAAGGTTTGCCATCACTGAACTAATAAATGATTTATTTAATAATGGATTAGAAATATATCTTTATTTAATAATGGATTAGAAATATATCTACCCTTATACAAGGCATGGAAAAAGTAGTAAGCACAAGAAATAAAAGACACGAGAGAACAAAAATCCAACTACATCTCATTCATACCAACACTATTCACTATCTTTTTCATACCTTTCTTTTCTTGCAAGCACTTTTGCTTCTTCCAGTTCCCTGCATGGCCTGATGTAATGCCTTTTGTATTGTAAACTTCTCATGTCTCTTTTTTCAAAATATCATCCAATTACAACTCCCCTTCCTCCTCACACATTCACTTTTCCTTCATGTTTTGGTTTTATGATTTAATTCTCATTCACTCTCTCTATGGAACTAAATCATCTGAATGGAGATCTTTTGTACTGGGCAATCATTTTTCTACATTCAGGCACCACTAAACATTCTTGACTTTGTCTCTTCTTCTTTCCATTAAGACTCAATGTTTTCTTGTTTTACCATACATACTTTTAAGTAATGCATTGTCACTGCATTTAGTTTTCACAGTGAGATCTTTAACCTCCATGTTTTTTAAATAGCAATAGCACTTAAGACTTATATACCATTCCATATGCTTTACAGCCCTCTCTGAGTGATTTGCAATGTCAGCCTATTGCCCCCAACAATCTGGGTCCTCATTTTACCAACCTCGGAAGGATGGAAGACTGAGTCAATCTCGAGCTCGTCAGGATAGAACTCCATGCTGTGGACAGAGTTTGCCGGTAATACTGCATCCTAACTACTTTGCCACCAGGGCTCAGGTGAAATGAATTAAATATTTCAATGTATGCAATAGGCAAGAATAGACATGGATCTTTAGTTATCTTAATTAACCTATGAAGCATAATTTTAAAAAGAGAATCTGATTTCAGCAAATTTTCATTGAAACAATGATTATTGAATATACCACGTGTAAAATAGCATTTTCTGCATGTATCAGACTATTCACTTCTGATGAATAGAACACTTCTTCTATGATATTCAGTATGTAACAGTTCAATTCACCAAGAAATGCTAAAGCTATCTTCATATGTTAGTTGTCTAACAAACTCAAGACACTCAGCTTCCATTAACTTTAATAATAGCAGCTAAGTAAACAACATTGGAAAGCAAGGGTGTCAAACAGCTGGCCCGCGGGCCGGTTTCATCATACTGAAGCCGCACCCACCCTATTACTGGCAATGCAAAAAGAGTCGTGATACGTCACGTGACATGGCAAGTTTGACATCCGTGCTGTAAAGCATTAGAAGCACCTAACTATATAAAAGTATACAAAAAATGGCTTTAAGACTAGGATACATTCGTTAAAAAACTGTCATTCATAAAATTTAGGAATGACATATAATTTTCAAGGCAATTATATTTTCATATAGTTCCAGGAGGTGAAACACTAGTAGACCTAGGCCAGTGATGGCGAACCTTTTAGAGACTGAGTGCCCAAACTGCAACCCAAAACCTACTTCTGCATCATCGAGTGCCGGGCGGGTGTGGCCCATTGGGTGGGCGTGGCCCATTGGGTGGGCGTGGCTGTGGTGGTAATGGCAGACTGGGTGGAACTAAAAAGTTCAGTCAATTAATTCCAATTTTGCAAGATCTTTTTTTTTCCAATGAGAAGTTGAAATTGACTGAACCTTTTTTTTTTTTTTTGCACACAGCGGCGGAGGCCTAAAGCGAAAAGGTTTTATAAAACCCAGCTGAAGGCCTAGGACTGGGGCAACGGCGTGCGTGCCCACAGAGAGGGCTCTGAGTGCCGCCTCTGACACCCGTGCCATAGGTTCGCCACCACTGGCCTAGGCTGATCTTGAAAAGAAAAAAGAACAGGTAAAATCTTGTAGTACCTGGACAGGAGAACACCAGGAAATTTCAAGGATATAAATTAAACTGATTTTTTTTTTAAAGGCAGCAATAACAAAGAACATAGATGTATCAATGTAATTGCTAAGAATAAAGCTTGACAGAGGAATTTTTTTTAAAAAAAATCATATCATTATACTTAAAGTAAGTGTGTATTTACTGTGCTATTTCAATTTGCCAAAAATCAATTAAAACAAGAATTCAGTCTACTGGCAGCAAAAGTAGATCACACAGCTGGTTTGTTATCAAAAGACAGTTTCTTATTTCTTTCACTATGAACCCCAATTCCATTGTATGAATCATGCCACTGTTGCTCAGGTCTTTTACCAGCTCTACTTTTTTAACCTTAGTTTTAAAGATGTGATTCCACTGGGTCCAAAGATGCTGCTGAATTTGATTTACAGAGTTAAAGCAGCATGATATTGACCATACCATATTGGTCAATATCATACTGAATGGTCATACTGAAAATATGCATCAAAGAAAGTTGGTATCCGAGCTGCAGCTAATCCAGGTATATCTCCACACACCTCTTGTTTTAGCCAAATTAACAGAAGTAACATGTAGCAAAATCTTACCTCATAAATCCCAAGAACATTATTAGAATAAGGCTGACAAGCCAACCAGCAGTAGCAAAGGCCTTTGGCATAGTTAAAGCTCCTGTGCCAACTATGAGGTTGAACATGTAAATCAGGCCAACCTGCAATGATAGAATAGAAACATTTAATAGAAACTATTTAAATTAGTTCCATCTTTGGGTAAATACAGTAGCAATCTCCATATGTGCAATTCAATCAGGTATTATGACTATGTGATTTCAGAAGTCTAATAGCCAATGGAAATATCTTTGCTAGTTCATATTAACTGTTCCAGTAATAATATTGTTTTATGATACGAAAGGGTTTTTTTTCCCCTCAACTCATGCAGGTGGTTCATTTGGCACAGTATAAGCCTGCAAAGAAATGTTTCAGTCAATGACTTTGCCAAGTGCATCTGATGTGCTTAATGGGGCCTGTAGAGCAGTGGGTGGAACTAAATAAGGTCATCATGGAGAAAGCAATCTAAATCTGGCTTGCTACCATCTGTTCCTACCTATCCAGAACTTCCTACTTGCATTAATTCTTATGTTTCCTGCAAGACATAAAAAAAGATCTCCTTAAAATTAATCAAGGGCTTCCTATAAAATTTATCTAGCCATATATTACTTTTCATTGATATTACTTATCACTATCTTTTCTTTCCATACTTCTGTGCAAGGTAGATTTATTTCTTGAAGCCTGGTCTGCCTATATCTTTGGTAACCTTCTTTCACCTGGGAACCCTTTCCCATCTATTCTAGAACAGTGGTTCTCAACCTTTCTAATGCCGCGACCCCATAATACAGTTCCCCATGTTGTGTTGACCCCCAACCACTTATACATCACTGGGTGCCAGGGGCGTGGCCAAAGAAAAGGGGAAAAAATGGCGGACAGCCTTGTTTGGCGACCCCTGTGAAATGGTCGTTCGACCCCAAATGGGGTCCCGACCCACAGGTTGAGAACCACTGTTCTAGAACCTACATTTCTTCAGCAGCCAAAACTGCTTAAATCCCACTTCGTTTGCCAACCATCTTCAGCTCCTTTTTTCAAGTTCAGCAACTTCCTTCCAGGCAGCTTCCTAGCCTATTTCACCTGTCTCCTCCTCCTTATATATGTGAAAATCTTAAATTTGTCTCGCTACCAGCATCTCCCAAATAGAGTTTAACAGCTTGAAGTACAGTTCATATGCTGGGAGACAATTGACAGGATGGCAAAGAATGCTTGGTTATTCTATTTTGTTACACTCTTATAAAAACTCTTTTGCAAATTATAAGGAAGTGTTCCTATTTAGATTTGAAATAGATTAATAAATTCTCAAGTAGGCTACCTACCCGGATGGTGCTGGTTTTGGGAGCCGTTGCGCACAAAAGCAGTATGTTTAGTATGGAGAACTAGTTTGGCAGAAAGCTAATTCTGAGCAAGAAATTCATATAGTATAACTAAACATAGAACACTTCTTAAAAGCACAAGATAATGGCAGAAAAAAACCAAATTCTATAAAATTTACCATACTTATCAGAACTATAGGAAACACAAAAAGGGGGAAAAGAAGGGGAAAATAAAAGAAAATATTGTTATTGCCTTCAATTGCTTTATTAGAAATTCTGTACATAAAGCAGCTCTCTCTATAGAACTCCATCTCCACAAAATATATTTATTTCTTATACTACAATATATGGGATTCCTGGGAAAAGAATCCAGTGGATTGCGATTCTCAGTAAGAACAGCTGGAAGGTTGGGTTTCCATCTTTTCCTGTCACTGTTTGCTTTTTTTAGGCATGCCTCTGTTTTAATTTAATTCTACCAAGCTTATATACCTACTGGCTCTTAAATAAAGCTGAGACACCACCATCAATATTAAGCAAAGATATATCAATGGAAAAATAACATGAAACAAAATGCTCCCTTAAAACAATTTTAATACAGGCAGTCCTCAACTTACAAGCACAAATAAGTCCAGAATTTAGGTTGCTAAGTGAGAAATTTGTTAAGTGAGTTTTGCCCCATTTTACGACTTTTCTTGCCAAATTTGTTATGTGAATGACTGCAGTTGTTAAGTTAATAACACAGTTGTTAAATGAATCTGGCTTCCCCATTAACTTTGCTTGTCAGAAGTCGCAAAAGGTGATCACATGATTCCGGAACACTGCAATCATCATAAATAGGAACCAGTTGTCAAGCATCCAAATGTAAATCACATGACCATGGGGATGCTGCAATAGTCATAAGTGTGAAAAATGGTCACAAGTCACTTTGTTCAGTGCTGTTGTAACTTTGAATGGTCACTAAACAAACTGTTGTAAGTTGAGGACTACCTGTAATTAAGGATTTTCACTACATTTTTGTTATTATGTAAGCAGGAAGCATGTTATTATGTCAGCAGGAAGCATTGTTAATTTTTAAAAAAACTTGTTGCCTGAATTTTGCGAATATCTACTTGTTTATTTATAAATTTGTTTCTGTACCCTTTGGCACTCAAAAATTTATAAAAAAAGCACTATACACTAATGCTTTCTTTAAATTTGAATTTATATGAAATATAAGTATAATCATTTACTGTTTTCAAATCCTTTGCTAGGTCAAATACAATGAGGTGCGAAATGATCAAAACAATATTCAGTATCAAAACCCAATTTAGAAATTAGCTGTAATGTGTTCCATAATTTGGAGAAAAGAAAAAACAAGCACAATAAATTACCCTATATAAAATTACAATTTTGCATGCTAATACTGGACTAAACATAAACATACATTAAGTAACAATACCAATGCTACTCACTCACATAAGGAGAGTAGAGCTCCCCTGTATCAGTAATGCTTCCAGCCATGCTGAAAAGAATTTAAGGGCTTGAGACAAGATATGTTGTCAGTCGTATTTGTTCCAGTCACTATTAACCTGAAAAACACAAAACAGTTAACTTTTTTACAAAGTTACTTACAATTATTAAGAACTGAATCTACTACATAACAAATTTTACTGAATTAAAGATAGTATCAGAGACTTCAAATTAACCATCTAGAGTTTAACCAATCGAAATATCACTAATTTCCATGCATTGCTTTATTAAACAACTCTTAAGATTTTCTCTGCTTGAAATTGGACAGCTGTAAGTAAAAGGCACTCTTGCCCTTGTTAGTTCCTAATTGGTTCTATATCATAGGGCAACACTTATATTATTTCAAGGGGAAAATAAGTATGAGATCATAGTAATATATGTAATTACTTCATAATAGAAAATTCAATGAAGTAAAGAGAATACAGTATATCAGTTGCAAATAAAGTCAGTCAATCAAGCAGAAAGCTGCAAGAAACCTGTTGGACAAAACATTTTCTACAGAATAAAGTGTATTTACTGGATTTATATCCCGTCTTTCTGTAATACAAAAAAGCACAAATGGGACTTTAAAATATCTAGATATAACTCCTTAATTGGACTGTTGCAAGATTCAACAGATTAACTCTCAGTATTTCTGACCAAAGACAAAAGATGAATACATCCCAAAGACCTTAATGCAATTTGGTATAGATTAATGAGTTTTGTGTGGCATCGGCTAGTATTAGGATGCTTTTTATTTTTCATTTGGTCAAGTCCATGTTGTTTTCCTAGAATAATACAAAGTGTTTTGCCATCAGATTCTTCCAAAATGTCTCTTCAACTTTGCAATCTAATCTATTTTTCCATATAAGTACTAAACCAAACCCAACTAATTATTGGGCAATTATTGGGCAAAATCTAGAAATCTTGGTGGAAATGGGAATGGCCTATGACTGCTAGTGATATTTTTCACAAAGCAGTGTCTTAACTCTTCATTTTGATACACAACTCATGAACAAGCTGACTCCAATTTAAATACAGTGTTCATGATAAACATCAATACTTTCTTCTTTTGGTGTATTTCATTTTTTAGAAAATCCTCCTCAAATTGTAGGTATTTTTCTTCTATCAACAAAAATATTACATGAAGACTGTTCCCCAAAATAATCCACTTTTTATCAACATCTCTGATCACCTGACTCCCACGTGAGACTGCATAGTAATTTTAATTAAGCACTTGTCTTTTTAAAAAAATTCTTCAACAACACACATACACAATGAATAAAAAATACAAGGTAGTCAATTTATGATCACAATTGAGCCCAAAATTTCTGTTGCTAAGTGAGACAATTCTTAAGTGAATTTTGCTCCATTTTATGATCTTTCTTGCTATAGTTGTTAAGTGATCCTTTGCAGTAGTTCACTTAACAATTGTTAAGTGTATCTGGCTTTCCCACTGGCTTTGCTTGTCAGAAGATTGCAAAAGGTGATCACATGACCCCAGGACACTGTGACTAACATAAATATGAGTCAATTGCCAAGCATCTGAATTTTGACCATTTGACCATGGGGATGCTGCAACAGTCATAAGTGTGAAAAATAGTCATAAGTCACTTTTTTCAGTGCCACTGTAACTTGAACAGTCAGTAAATGAACTGTTGTTAAATGAAAGATTACCTGTATGGTATATATAAAACATCAGCTCCTATTTTAAACACATTACTTCTTGATCCTATGGAATAAAACTGGACGATCTTTCTATAACATTAACATAGAGCCAGTTCATAAATCAGTAATGAATTTATCTTGAATCCAGGACCATAAATACAGACTCCAATATTTTTTTCACTTCGCCCTGTACTCCCTAAATCCATAATCATATACAATTAAATTTATCAATTAATTCTAACTTTAGGAATGTTATTCAGAATATGGATTTGGGAAAGGCAATACTGCATAAAGATGTGATTAACCAGCACCTTAGTCTCCTTACTTATTGTTTGCTTATTATACAGCATTGCACACATTTCCTAGATTACATCCTTCGGAGGCTTACGATCAGCACTCCTTTCAACCTGGGGCAGTTTGAACTGTAACCACATGCACATGCGTGTCTGCCCCTGAAACGATGCTGACGACCGTCCTAACACGAAGTCTCTTCCCCTCCCGTTAGCAACGCCCAAAGCGAATTTCACGGGACTTTAGTCATCCTCTACACGGGCTCTTTCTAAAAGCACTTCAGAGCTGCATTCCCTGCCGTTAGAAAGCCAAATAAAACCTCTGCCAGCGCTGCTCCGGGAATGCCACGTCCCTGAAGCTCGCCCAGCCGCGGCTTCCTCTTCCCATTCTGCCTCCCAGGGTTGCGGCTTCGCCATGCCACTATGCCTACCATCCCGCAAACCACCACGAAACCTCCTTCCTTATCTCTAAAAACCTTTACCAGGAACAACCGCAAGCCCAGAGAAACCCAAGGCAGAGGCTCCAACCGCAACTCCAAGCCGGCTCCCCTCATGCTATACCCAGGGAAGTGAAGGCACGAACAGCGCATGCGCACCCCCGGCTAAAAGGGGCCACTTCAAATACTACGGAAAGCAACACCCTGGACTACAGCTGTTCGAGCCGCTTCCTACGTCAATCGGGCAGCTTCTCGAGCAGGAGATTGCGAGGCGGATTGAGGCTCAACGGCTACCGTAGTGTTCAGTTAAGGGAAGGAGGGCCTTACAACTGCGCAAGCGTGGAGATCTAGGAATTGAGAGATCGCGGGAAATGCGCGCTTATCGCCTGTTTCCTTTCACTGTTGCGGCAGACGGGGCTGGCGTGGGCGACGGAGCGGGTGGGCTTTGTATCCTTTCTTGAGCTTTATTGGCTTTTCCTCTCCTTCCTTCAGGAACATAGATATTAAAGACCCAGCTCGAAGTACACTTAGGAAGGGAACGGTCCTCGAAACTCAGTGGGGCGCTATCTTTCTCTATGACTTAAACAGTGAAAGATACAGCCAGCAGCACGCAAGTCTAACGTACAGTTGGCCAGTTTGTGGCTCAGATGATTGATTGATTGATTATGTACCATCAAGCCAAGCAAACTTGTCTGAAATGGTATAGGGTCTCCTGCTTGAGCAGGGGGTTGAACTAGAAGACCTCCAAGATACCTTCCAGCTCTATTCTGATTGAAACATCAAACACATAGACAAGATTTTCTCCATGAGGATGTGTGAATAATTTGAGCTATGATACATCTATACTAGGAGTGTCAAACTCAATTTCATTGAGGGTTGCATCAGCATTGCAGTTGCCCTTGGGGAGCAGGGTGGGTGTGGCCTACTGGGTGGGCGTGGATGGAGTGGGTGTGGTCTACTGGGTGGGCATGGCCAGCTCTATGTTGTTCGCATCAAGGGTTCCTGTCGGGGCCTGAGCAGGAATGGGATAGATCTGAGGGTCTCTGGCAGAAGGGGGTGGGACTGGGGCAAGCACCACGGCATGGTGCATTTCTTCATTCCTCACAAAGAGTGACACATCCCCAGCATGTGTAGAGGTGAGAGACAGGCAAAGGTCATGTGCAGAACACTGCCCTTCCAAAGCCTGTGTACCCCTCCTCTCTGCATCTATCTCATTCTTTCACATCACCATGGCGATGTGAAAGTGCGCAGATCTGTGTGACCTTGCCTGTTTGATAACAGCGAGCTTGCAAACAACAAGATGTGATTGCCAACTATTCCCTGTTTCTGGCCTCTGGCTGCTATATTCTTGAGGATTGGTTGGGAGTTTAACCAATGAAATGTTATTGCCATGTAGAAACTTTTGCTTCTTGTAAACTGTAGAAAAACAATAAAAGCTGTGTAGAGAGCAGCCATCTTTTTGCACCCTGCAATGACTAAGGACTGATTACTACAGCTGGCACCCAATCAACAGGGACATTTGGTTTTGGGACCCCTACAGGAAGAAGCAGCTACCAACATACTTATCATCGTCTGGAACAGACCCCTAAGTGCACTTTTGTCTTCAGAGACCCCTGTGGTGAGTATGGGCTGCAAGTTATCTCAGTGCCAGCAAGGACAAACACAGGAACTCAGATTCCTGCTACACATACAGGCACGGGAATTAAGTTTCCTGTTACAGCCTGGGGCAGACATAAAGAAGCTGGTGGCTGAGGTAGGAAAACATTGTTCTTGCAATAATTTACAACTTGAACCTTGGGCTCCAGTACAAACATTGATAGTATTCAGTGCCGTCAGGCAAGGGGAAAAAATATGGCTCAAATGCTTCAGAAGGGCAGCAATTACCGTATTTTCCGGCGTATAAGGCGACTTTCTAAACCTTGAAAATCTTCTCAAAAGTTGAGGGTCGTCTTATACGCTGGAATATATGGGTACCTGTACTCTGAATTTAAAATCAATCTGCCCCCTAGTGGCCAGTCCTTTTTTTTTTTTTTTTTTACAGAAATAAGCACTAACAGGACAAAGCATACATTTTTCTACATCGCCCATCACTTTATTCTTTTTCAGGAAAAGCAATTAACTAGTAGAAAACAGTAAGCTATATAAATTAAGGACATTACATCTACAAAAAAAAGAAACATTTGATTTACTTCTTACACCTATAGAAGCAGTCATGAATATATGGAAAAAATTTTTGATTCAGCAAATCACATTGATTAAGAAAGATACTGGTCAAAGAAAAAAAATCAAAGTGAAAATTAAGAAAATAGATGATGGGATCTACCAGAGAATATATAAAAAAGAAACATTAGTTTGAATATGGTTAAAGAAACAGAAAAGATTCTGAATACATATGTCATTCTAAGAGAGATGAATTCCTTAAATAATACTGTATGCTTTTCCCCCCTTTTATTTTATTTCTTGATATAAATAATATAATACTGCTGAAATAGCCTAGATGAAGGAAATGTTTTAGATAATTAAATGTGTCTGAATTTAGGGAAATTATAATGTTTTGAAAAAATGTTTTGAATAAGACCTAAAGGATTAGATGATTAGGTACTTTAATTGGAATATTTAAAGATTAAATATATTTTATCAAAATAATAAGAACTATATTATTTCAAGGTTTGCAAAGAAGACATTTTGGGGAAAAGGAGAAATCAACTAAATGTACTATGTGGATTATAGATTATAGAAACCAATTGTTAATGATTTTTCTTTACAAATGTAAACCCAGCAAACACACTGTTTACCAACTATTAAGTGATTTATATTTTAAAAAAATCAATAAAATAAATGGGGGGGGGGGGAAATACCAGCTGAGTTCAGGAAGCATTAGGGAAGCAGTGGTGGGCAACACTCGCTTTCTAGCAGCAAAGGAATGGAGCTCCTATTGTGCTCATCTATAAACAGAAATTCAATATTGTACTGTATTTTCTGGCATATAAGACGACTTTCTAAACCCTGAAAATCTTCTCAAAAGTTGGGGGTCGTCTTATATGCCTATACGCCGGAATATACGGTAATTACCAGCCCCCCCTTCTGTTTGCAACTAAGTAAAATTTATTCCTCATAAAACATCTTTAATTGGACTTTCAGCTTCTTCTGAAGAGGCTAATTCTTTTGCTGTTTCTCAGCTATCAAACACCTCGGCAAGGAGAATCGTCAGAGTGATTTAAAGACATAAATTAACTCAAAATGTACTCCCTCTGTAAAGTGTTTTGAATAATTGGAATGTTTTGAAACTCCTCTGCAATCTGTTAGGTTTAACCCTGTCAGACAATGTCTGGTGGTGCTTTTGTGTTATGTGTGTGTGTGTGTGTGTGTGGCCACTCAGAACATTATGCTTGGGCTTGGAATGGTGAGAGAAATGGGAGATGATTAGGGCCCTCAAAACCACTTTTGGTTGGAAAATCACCTCATCATTTTTCTCGCTTCTTTCAGGACAAGTCATATATCTAAATAAATGTTGTTGTAACAGTATTTGTGTATATACATTTGTCTGTGTTGCTCTGTGTTATTTCCAAGACTTGGAAGAGGGTCAAAACCCTCTCTGATAACAACAATACAAAAAGGACTTATTAAGAATATATGGTTTGCCTGGAGAAAGTATGAAATGAAATATTTGTATGTGGAATGGTTTTATGCAAGCAGTTAGCATAGAACTGAATGAGTTAATTTGTTGAAGTGTGTGTTAGCCCTCAAACCCCACCCATTCTCTCCCGGGCTGTGAAAATAATAGTAAATATTTGCATGAGAAGAGTTTCATGGAGGATGTGTGAGAGAATTTATGGAAAATGCATATGAAGGAGAGAAAACTATTTTTTGGTGGTGAGACTTTTCCCCCCTGTCTCTTTCTGCTGGCTGCGTTGCTTTAAGAGCGAGAGACTGAAAGAAGAAGGGGGAGCTGTTCATTTAAAAACTTTTTTTCCTTTGCTTAGAATTGCAATCTGAGAAGAGTGGAGGGAAAGTGAAATCTGATATCCACTTTTGCAGTTTTGGTTTGCAACTTTTTTTTACTCATAAGAGGAAACATTAATTGTTGGACAATATTTTTTAAGGGAAAAATTGTTGAGTTTAAATTGTTTAGTTAGACCTATATATCCAACAACCAAAAGAACTGATTATGAATTGTTTTGTTAAGATTTATAAATGTTTAACCTATTTATAAAATTTGTTTTCATCTGAATGGAATTTGATTAAATTGAAGCACCAAAGATACAATCTAATTGGCTTTCAGAAATACAAAATGATTTAGGATTGCAATATGCCCCAGAAAAAATACAGTTGCACAAATTGATGACATCATGAGTACTCAATTTGTGGACAGAATTCCACACTTTTGATTTTTTTTCCTACTAGTAAATTTCCTACAGGAGTATTATCTGTGATAGAAGTGCAAAAAGTATATTGTATTGAATGATATTTACTTACCCCACACCCCATCCCAAAATGTTTTATTTTTTATCCAGGTGGTTGCTAAAATGATAACCTTAGGACGCACACGAGCTTGCCGTCGAAATGGAACTGATTTAATTAATATTGTTTTTCTTATCTCAAAATCTGATTTTTAATTTTGTTTTCAAGAATAATCTCTGATTTCTTTTTTTTTAATTGAAAGGTTTTATACAGTATACAATATCCCCAAAAAAATTTATAAAAATTTTGTCTTAAATTTTCAACCTGTATAAATTATACATTTCTAACCCAAATTATCTCCCATATATCCAACAGGATCGGTTCCTGAATATTTTGAGCCCATTTTACCATACAATCTTTAACTAAATCCATTTCCGAATCCAATTCTATTAAAACATTATAAATTCTCTTTATATGCACTCGATTTTGATCTTTAATCTGTTTTACCAAATTCTCATCTATTAAAGTAATACCAACCTTTTGATCTAGCTTCCACCTAGCCAACAATTGATTATACTGAAACCAAGATTGTACAACATTTTCTTGCTTTAACTCAACCAACGGTTTTAATTGCCAATCATTCCCTACCAATTTAAGTAATTGCTTATAAGAAGTCCTATTCAAATTCACACCCATAGATACCCCCTCTATCACGTGTCCAGGAATCCCCCAGATTGGTATTCCAAAGCCTGTGTACCCCTCCTCTGCATCTGTCTCATTCCTTCACATCACCATAGCGATGTGAAAATGCACAGGTCTGTGTGACCTTGCCTGTTTGATAACAGCGAGCTTGCAAACAACAAGATGTGATTGCCAACTATTCCCTGTTTCTGGCCTCTGGCTGCTATATTCTTGAGGATTGGTTGGGAGTTTAACCAATTAAATGGTATTGCCATGTAGAAACTTTTGCTTCTTGTAAACGGTAGAAAAACAATAAAAGCTGTGTAGAGAGCAGCCATCTTTTTGCACCCTGCAATGACTAAGGACTGATTACTACAAGCATGCACCCAGGGGGCAGAGCCAACGCAGCAGGGGCTGGTGCCTCGCTGTTTCTGGATGGCCTTGTGGAGCTAAGACTGAATACATTTCAGCATAGATGGCCACCACAAAATTGTACATTGGCTCCCAGCCAGCCTGGGCCAAGGCCAAGGCAGTGCGGGCTGTTCCTCACTGTTTCCAGGATGGCTTTGCGGGCCACATGAAACCACTTCGCGGGCTGCATCTGGCTCCCGGGCCTTGTGTTTGACATGTCTGATCTATACCTTACAAAATCAGAATAGTGCAAGCCATGGCATTCCCTGTGATACTACATGAAAGCAAAAATTGGACTTTGAAGAAGCTAGTTAGGAAGAGTATTGATGCATTTGAACTTTGGTGGAGATAGAATACTCCTGAGAATACTGCGGGCAGTCAAGAAAATAAACCAATGGATCATTGAGCAAATAATTATCTGAGGTGCAAATGACAAGGCTCAAATTATCTTTACTTATATGTAAAGACCCAGGAATTTGGAAAAAGCTCTAATGCTGGGAAAGGTAAGGGAAAAGAGAGAGTGACCAGCATTACAGTAGCAATGAGTGCACCATTGGGAAACTTTAAAGAACAGGTGAGGGATCGTCATGGAAAAATTATGTGGTCACTAGGAGTCAAAAATGATTTGGTGGCAAATAATCATTTGTGCCTTGAGTGAGAAGTCTGGTTTGATGATCCATTGATTTGTTTACTTGGCTGCTAATAGTGTTCTCAGGAGTGTTGTCCAACACTAATGGCTCAAAAGTTTCAATAATCTTCCTATATTGCTTCTTCAACATTTAGAATCAGAAACTGGAGAAGCTTATTTAACCAGCAGCTAAAAAGTGCTGTACAAATCTAAGCTTAGAATTAGCTTGATCTTTTTTTTTCCTTCTGACCTATTTTTTTCTAGATCTAAAACCCTTCATATGGACTTTAACAAGCCCCCAGCCTTCCAGTTGTTCTCCACATTACCTTCATACTCTTCCCGTTACTGATTTAACTCTGACTCATCAGTGCTACGTAAGCAGTGGTCTCTCCCTCTCTCTCTCTCTCACACACACACACACATCTAAAACAAGGATGGAAATATTTGGCACTTGAAAGATTTTTCGGCCAGAAAATTCCATATTCCATATCCATGACTGACACCCAGTGATACATTCATTCTTTTATGTTTTATATCCAGGTATTGTATGTAAGTTTTAGAACTGTTTTCCAAAGAATACTGTGTACAATGCCCTATCCAGATACTGGTTCAGAGTTCTAGATCTTTATTTTGTTTAAGATAACTGGATTTTTAAAAGTTAAAAATAATTGAGAAAATCAAAATGGGAATGAAATATTGTAAATTGCCTTTTGTAACAGCCATAGAGAATACAAAACTTATATAACCTATTAGACAGGCTATTATAACATACTTTTGTCTCATGACTCACATATAGGTACATATAGCTTTGTATTTCATATATTTTTAATTAAGCACACTATAATATCTGTATGAATAAAATGTTCAGTAAATGTTTTGAGTTAATTCAAATACTATCTCTGCTTTGTCAGATTTTATTTCTCACTTATTGTTGTTTCAGAATTCAGGCTATGAAGATTAATCAAAACACTGTACTGCAGGGGAAGAAGGTAGCCCTAGTACCATACATGTCTGCTCATGTACCCAGGTATGCAGTAGATAACTTAGTTTGGGGTGGAGTGGGAAGACACTGATTTGAAAGCTCTGGTTTGAAAATATAGTCATTTTACAAGTTTATGTTCAAAGTGCCACAACAAATTCCCAAAAATTTCAAATTTGTGCACAAAATCATTGGACACGTAAGAGAAAATATTAATGTATTGTTTAAAATCATTCATGAATACTTTTTGACTGAAGAGCGACTGATGCAGCAATAAACCATATACCACTGATTTATCTGCATATTGATTCAGATTAAAAAACAAACATGTTATTTTGAATGTTCATCTTGCATCTGTAGGCAATTCTTAAAAAAAAGCTGCATATTTTCTGTGACTGACATGCAATGAAAGAAAAATAGATAGAATGAATTAAGGAGTTTCAGACAGATGCAGCATGCATAGCCTTTCTGAATCATCTTATCTCCTTCAAATATAGATTGCTGTAGAGGCCAAGTAAACTGTACTATATTCAGAGGTGCTTACTCCAAAATTAACATACATTGAATTTCATTGTTGATTTTAAAAATTGGAAATTAGAATTGTAAGTAGTAAGAATGAGAATTCTAATGTAGATGCCTACATGTTTATTGTATGCCATTACAACAGAATAAAGGTCTGAAAATCATTTCTGAATGGGGATCAGTCTTCGCACTATCAGAGGACGATCCCATATTTTCCCTTGTGTGCAAGATTTTCACCACATGAAATCCTTTCCCCCCTTTCGTGTAAAAGTGAATGGCAACTGAGGATCAAAAGGGACTTAACATACTTCTTATGAAATGAGCTCTGCATACTTGCTTAATCTTTGTCCTAAATTGTATTACTTCCTATTTAGAGCAGTGATAGGAAACCCAAGCATCATATTCCAGATGCAGCCATTAGCCTTGTTTTTTTCATTGTTCTAAGGTCATGCTGTGAAATTCAACAAAATGCCAGTTTCTGTGATAAATGTTTATCAGGTGGGTTTTGTTTTGTTTTGTTTTTTGTAAAAATAAGAAAGAAAAGGTACAGCATAATATATTCAGCTTCTCTCCTCTCATCATAGATAGAAACCCACTTTCTAAGGGTCAAGTATAGATAGTCCCACACAAGATAGTTGTTAAGTGAATTTTATGACCTTTCTTGTCACAGTTGTTCAGTGAATCATTGCAGCTGTTAAGTTAATAGCATGGTTGTTAAGTGAATCTGGCTTCCCCATTTAATAATAATGATGATGATGACGATGATGATGATGTTGGAAGGGACCTTAGAAGTCATTAGTCCAACCCCCTGCTCAGGCAGGAAACCCTATAATATTTCAGACAAATGGTTGTCCAGTCTCTTAAAAACTTCCAGTGTTGGAGCATTCACCGCTTCTGGAGGCAGGCTGTTCCACTGATTAATTGTTCTGACTGTTAGGAAATTTCTCCTTAGTTCTAGGTTGCTTCTCTCTTTGGTTAGTTTCCATCTGTTGCTTCTTGTCCTGCCTTCAGGCGCTTTGGAGAATAGCTTGACTCGGCTTGTCAGAAAGTCACAAAAGTTGATCACATGACCTCAGGACACTGCAACTGTCATAAATATGAGTCAGTTGCCAAGCATTTGAATTTTGATCATATGACCATGGGGATGCTGCAACGGTTGTAATTATGAAAAACTATTATAAGTCACTTTTTCAGTGCCATTGTAACTTTGAACAGTCACTAAATGAACTGTGTAAATCGAGGACCACCTGTAAGTTCAACCTCTAACTGGAGGAAAGGGCTAGTGTGCAGAATTTGAGATGGCAACTCTTAATCTGAATGGGGGGGGGGCTATTCAAATGCCTATATCAGTTACATTGTTTCACTAACACGAGTTCATCAAGAGGTGTACTTAACATCATAGCAGCTTATAGTGGCTAATATTCTAAAGAAGCCTATTTACTTTTTTTCATTTTTTTCTGATCAGATACCATGAGTGGATGAAGTCTGAAGAACTACAGCATCTGACTGCATCTGAGCCACTAAGCCTTGAGCAGGAGTATGAGATGCAGTGCAGCTGGCAGGAAGATGCAGACAGTGAGATTTCTGAATATTTGGGAAGACCTGGAAACGGGTAGTCTGCACATATGCTGGGTGGTTCATTTCACAAATGTTATTTATCTATTAAACTTATATGCTGCCCATCTTGGCTAGGCTGCTTACAACCGATAAAAGCAACAAGCTAAAATATTAAAATAATAAATATTGACACTAAAATTGACTTTAAAATTAACAGAGATGGCAAGGAAAGGAACAAGATGCACACGGGGAGGAGGTGGGGTCTTACCTTAGTCTGTTAACCTCTTCATTATGACACACCCCCATGACAAACCCCACAGATAGTTCAAAGTGTTCGTTTTAGACCATTACTACTCCATGTCACAGTTTAAAATTTGCAATTTCATAATTTTCAGTTGTGGAAATGCTTTTTATTTTAACTCCATTCAATCATGATCAGATACAAAGGGATACTGTAACATAATAGAAAATCTGATTTAAGATGTTTATATTATGGGGCATGGAAATTCTGTGATGCTTGTTGAAAGATTTCTGAAGGAATACAGTTTAATTGGTGGTTTTAGCCTTTTCAGCTTTTCTTGATACCCTTCTGCATCGCTTGTTTGGATTACATTTAGGAGACATGATATTATATTTCCAGTTCTTCCTGGAAGAGCAATCTCAAAATGAGATGCTAGGACATTTCTATTTTACCACAGCGTTGTTAGTCCAAGGACAATATTAATCTGTGAACAGGCTTCTACCATATTTTAACATTTCCCTGAAATCCTTCAAGGAAATAATCGTGAAGTTCCATACAGTCATTAATGAGAATCTGTTTACTAGTTCTACATACCTATTTATTCCAGGGTGGCCCTAGAATTTGTGAGTTGGGATTTGAAAGCACTTTAGGGTAGAAATAAGAAAACAAGACAATGGAGTTAAAGTTTGGAAAACTAAATGTTTTATGGAGATCAACAGTTCTTAAATAAGGTTGTACTCCTGTCAAAAACCCAAATGTGCAACCTGATGGCATTCCAGCTAGACTTTTATAACACACTATACATGGTGTTATGTCTTTAGAAAGAGATCTCTACTGCTCATACATGAAACAAAAATCTCTTTCAAACATTTGTGGTCAGTGAAATTGGAATCAGCAGGCTGGAAATGTTTTCTGTAGTGTTGCACAATCCTAAAATGAGTTGCCATTGGGAGTCTGTCAGTGTTTCTTTAGAAAAGTTGTACAAACCACCTGTTTTCTTTAGCTTTTTAATGTTAGTTTTATTAAGCTACAACGCTGTCTTAAATTTTATTGTAAAGACCAGATATTTATTTTTTATCTGATGTCAGTTGATTGCAGTATTTCAGAAAAATACTATAAATTGCCCTTAAAAGATATATACCTATGTAAAGTGAGAAGTCTTTAATTCAGTTTTCTATGCCTGCTGAATGTGAAGCGGAGTGCTGGTAAGAAAGTAGAATAGTAGCCAAAGCTAGGTAATACTGCTTCTAGTAATCATATATATTTACCTTGATTTTATACCTTATGTTTCTTGCAGAGATTCATAATATTTTTTTTGATTCTGCTACATTTTTTTACATTACCTAGAATGCACATTTATAATACTTGATGCTGAAAAGTGGTCTAGTCAGAAAGCCACAGAAGAAGACTGTATGGTGGGAGATGTGAATTTGTTCCTTACCAATTCCGAAGATCCAACAGTGGGAGAGATAGAAATCATGATTGCAGGTCATCTAATTGTTTCATGTGTATTGCCGTGTCTTCCAGTATTTATTTTGTTTCTATATCATTTTGCTTCCAAGCAGAGCCAAGGAGATTTACAGGACCAAAAGAAAAAAGGAGATGAATCTTAAGTGCTTAATAATAATAAAAAAATAAAATGAACTCTCATTTTTTAAAAATCAAAAAACCTAAATAAATCATAGACATGTTTAAAGGGAGTGTATTTTCATAAATGCCTAAGTACACAAGGATATATTCAAATATTTTATTGATCCAAATACTATACCTTTTAGGAGATAGTTTCATTATTTTGGCACTGCCAGTGAGAAAGCTGTACTCCTGGGATCATATTGTAAACCAAACTCAATGGAGCCTCCCGAATAAAACTTAATGAAGTTGGATTATATTGTTGGAAAAATTCTTTCAAATACTCTTTTACATCTTGGAATAATCTTTTACAGCAACATGCCTTTGCATCTGAAACCTACCAGAATCAGATTGACTATACTTAGCATTTTATATGAGAAAGAGAGAAGTTTGAAAGAATGGCTTTCGAATATTTTTTAGCAGGCCAGTGAAGGTTGTGTAGACAGTATTGTTGTGTTTTGAACCTATAGCATACATCTTGATGAACAAGGTTAGATATAGAGCAAGAAAACTCTCTCTCTCTCTCTCTCTCTCTCTCTCTCTCTCTCTCTCTCTCTCTCTCTCTCTCTCTCTCTCTCTCTCTCTCTCTCCCCCTCCCTCCCTCCCTCCCTCTCCTGAGCCCACTTTTTTCTTTGCCAATCTCATGCTTTCCAAAAATACACCTTGTGTAATACCAAAAATGTATGGAAAATTATATATTTTCCTAATTGCAAAAATAGTTTGAACTAAGATAATTGTGATGGTGATGGAGACTTGTTTTCCGTGACACAAGAAACTTTGGTTCCTGTTCCCTTTTTCAGAGCCCAGCTACCGTGGCAGGGGGTTTGGCAAGGAGGCCACTCTCATCATGATGTTTTATGGTAAGAATGCCTAACATAGAATATGCAAGATCTGATTTTTAGTTGTTACAATGTGACAGGAACAGAATGAGCAAAGAAATGAAGGAATTTGTATGGTCAACAAGGGGACTCAACAGAATTTTCTGAGGGAGCATATAAACAGTTTTGAGCAAAAGACTTAATATTAGGAGAATGAGAATTTGTTTCCATGTCACCTTTACTTCAGACCTGTTTGTGACTTCTGTTCGACTTCTTCTTTGTGTCTTAAAAATGCCCAAGTCCTATCCAATTGTTTTGAATTAGTGTGATGTACTTACATTCCAGCAGATGTTGAATTTTAGCCTCAAATATGTAAAGTGCCTTGTAGATGAGTATTGTTTATTTATACTACAAGAATAAAATTTCCATTTGTCTTTAACAGTAGGAACATTGTAAACATACCTTTAGTTAGTTAACATAATCAAGTCAATTATTTATCTATGTAAGAGGGTATGTTTCTAAGGTGTCAGAGGACCCAGATGGAGATGCCACAAATTCAGCATAGGAATGCTTACATGCAAATTTTGTGTTCTATCATTAGTCTGTAATCATTCCTTTTCCAAATAGAACTCTTTTTCTTAATTATTATCTTGGTCTCTAGGTATTATGCATCTTGGACTCGCTACTTTTGAAGCAAAAATTAAATTAGAAAATGAAACCAGCATTGGCATGTTCAAAAAAATTCATTTTAAAGAGGTATAGTAACTAGAAGCTCTTATACTGTATGTCGAGTTGATATTAAATTGTGTTTGTTTCAGTTTTTAAAGATAACTTTATCTTCTCTATTATCTAGGTGGGAGTAAATAGTACCTTCCAAGAAGTAACACTGAAACTGATTGTGGATGAACAGGAGAAACAGTGGCTTCTTGAGCAAACTAATGGAGTGATTGAAACAAAATACAATGCCATGAAACTACATCACAGTTGTGACAGCTGAGAAGCTATGCTCAATTTGTCTCAAATTTAGAGAGATGGCTTTTTATTGTCCAAATTTGGAATCGTGTCCTGAATCCATGGCACTAGTTCTTGCGGAAGAAGAAAATGAAGTGTGACCTCTGTCTTGTTATTGCCTTAGGGACTTTTTTCTAAGGTTATAAACATCTAGGATAATTACAGCAAACTGCCTCATCTTAGTGAGAAAAAAGAATTTTCAGCTAAAATCTCATTCAGCTTGAACTGTGTTTGAGCAACAGCTGCTGACAAAATGATGTCATGGACTTGTTTACTGTTTAATTCAATGAAAATAGCAACTGAGCTGCATTTTGAGGCAAAGAACTCAAGAATACTGTTACAAATAGGTTGAGAGTGCTCTCACTATAATGGCTGCATTTTACCAAAAACCCTAACTTACCTTCTCTGATGTTTTCCAATTTCGCAGTCTAGAACACAGTGTTGGGATTTCCAACCCAGTATTAACCCAGTCCAACACTTTAGGGTACTTAAAAAAAAAAATTAGCCAGATAGAACACCTAATGCTAATGAAGAGAGCTGACTCTGCCTGCCTGTATATAAATGTTTTATGGGTATTATACATTACTGATGGTACCATATCTGTACATCTCCTTTAGGGAATCAACCATCCATTAATTCTATTTGTGTTACATTTCAGTCTCTCTTCAGAGTGATTTCTCACTATCAGTGGAACCTGTTCTTCTATAATTTCAATAACATACTTTGTCCATTTTTGAATAAGCTCATTTTCTGAAGAAGCTTGTTAAAAAAAGCAAAGATAATTGAAGGTTGTGCTCTGTTTTCTTTTATCTTCTAGTTCCTCCTATTGTCCAACTTTCAAGGTCTCCTTATCATAAAAATACATAGGGATCGTCATTTTCCCATGATAATTTTTTTTAATTAATTCAAGGCTATAATTCCAAATCCCTCTGGCCATTTATTGCTAACTTTTTCTAAACTATATACTAAGCACCATTTTGCAAATAATTTTAAAATAACATATTTCCAATATTTTAAAAATCAAACATGCTATCATCTATGAAGGAGGAGGGAACTCACTGAGGAATATAGTAAAACCTTTCCAAACTGGAGACTTCATAATGGTTGTAAACTCCATTTTGCATAACAGATGGATTAGCATTGATAATTTGGGATGGGAGGGACACTGCATTTGGCAACACTATTGCCTAAAGCTGAGCCTTCAACCTTTTTAATATTTGTGCTTCTAATTGTTTTGTCTTTTTACTTTTTTAAATCAATGATAAACTACATTGGATGCCACGAACAAGCACAATGACAGGTATGATCCTTTTAAAAAGCACAGATAATCCAGTAGGCCTGGGTATATCCTATGGTTTTCAGTCCCAATTCCAAATACCTCAATATAAATTGCTAAGCTGTTGCCTGGAAATATAAACTACAAAATAATAAATAAATTAAAAAATAGCAGAGATTAGTTTGGGCAGAGTGTTTGTATGTCGGATGGCCTGGAGTGTGCTTCCACTGCACTGTTTTGTTCATACTTTCAAAGTGGTGACAATTGGGATCAAGCTTCTGAACTAGAGGCTTGCCTCTTTGTAAAAGCTGGTGAAAGCAGTACAATCCTGACAATGAATAATGCATTTGGCAGTGTTATCAGCAAAGTGCAAGACTGCAAAAATTAACAAAAAGGAGGGCCAGATGTAGTCAAAGCTATTATGGTTCTGTTCTTGATGAGATGTGAATGACAGATTTAGTAATGTGAAAGTCCACTAGTTTTTAGGGAGAAAACAGCAAATGACCTCCAATTGCTTTACATGGAATTAGGTGCTAACAGTGCAATCCTTTGCACATACGCTCAGAACTAGTTATAACTATTACTGTAGAGCATACATCCAGGTACCTAGGCAGCAAAGTGCAGCATTAAATATATTTACTCTGAATGAAATGCTGCTCAGTCAAGGCAGAAAAATACCATGTTCTAAACTTAATCAGTTGGTTGTGAAAGTGTCAATGGAAGATGGGATTTTCCTTTTATCTGGTCAATGACGTTTTTCTATTATTACTTTCTCATCAGGAGTATATTCTGCTGCTTCCGTGCCATGATTCTCCACTCTCCCATGTTTTCATAAGAATCCTATAAGAAAGCTTATGCTAGGGAAGAATAATTGATCAAAATTCAGTGAACAAGTGTATGGGCCAGGTCTACCCATGTGAAATTGGCTTTTAATCATTAATACACAACCCATTGATCGGGCCTTCAACCTCTTCAACCAAAACAATGTTCACTAGGTGTCCCATTTATGATAAAGCACCTGTGAAGATTGGTAGTTGTAGACACCATATTACTGTGGTCTATCTGAGTGATTGGTCCAAGCAGTGGTGGCAACTGAGAGAAGTGGGTCTTTGAATACTATTTTGGAGTGCCCCAAAAGTGCCCCTTTTAGAGAAATGCCAGCCTTGACTGACAAAGGTCTGTCCTTCAGACAGATAAGCAGTCTGGGGAGTCCTAGAGTCGCAACACTTGCCGAAAGAGCACAATGGAAGCCAAAACCAAAACAGCCTTTAGCCAGTTTCTGGTGGCATGCCAATTGCAACCTTATGTGAAACAGGATGCACTGAGGGCGTTCACAGTTGTCATCTCTTTCCTAGGCTAGTGTGGTTTGCCGACCTTGGGGCTGCCTTTGAAGACCACTATACAGATCCAAAATGTAGAGGCCTACAATCTTAGGTCACGACGTGTCGTGACAACATTAGCACGGTATCTGTTCTATCATTGTGTTTCTGAATGCAATTCAAGATGCCAACTGCCATCTTTACAATTTTATGTGGCCTGGTATCTAGATAGCCTTTCTCAGACCGATTCTAACTGCCCAATTTGGATGGCAGAGAACCCCTGCTAAGGTCTTCCCTCTACTGTAAGATATGATAGGAGAAAATCTGACAATGGTATTGTCTTTGGGAGCTCCCTTCCTAAGGAACAGCCTGCCCTGAGATGACCTAAGGAAGTTGTTAAAAACTTGCTGCTTCCAGTAGCCCTTTGGGAAATTTTTGTGGAGTTTCCAACACCAAAATTGATTTTATTGTTTTGTTGTATTATTTATTATTTAACATTATTAGTAGCTTTTGTGTAACAGAATCTTTCAGGATCAAGGCAGTAGATAAAGCTCATATTAATAAAGAAATGCAGCAATAAAGGGGCCTTGGGTGTTAATGGGATCCCATGATATGCTTATTGTTTTGTTTAGACTGGTTGGTTCCTATTCTGACACAAACTTAAAGTGATCTCTTTTAAATCCTGTCAGATAGTTAACTCAAAAGAAACGATCTTATTATAAACAAAATATATTTTAATGAGAAAGATTACTTGCGTTCACATTGAGATTGGTGCTGCTGGAAATACATGTTTGTTCATCTTTTAGATCCTTCCTTTAGGTAAGAAGATATTGCTCTTTATACCATCTTTATGCTTATAGGGAGACCTTCCATGGCCCATGCTTCTTACAGACAAAGAGATTCCCAAGTGGCTTGTGTCCAGGAAGTCTCCCAATGACCTTTGGAACTCCTCCCACTGACCCATCCACATACCTAGCATTTAACCCAATAACTGCCAGACACTCCAATGTAGAGCTGGGACATAGAGCTATATGGGCCATAGAGCTATATGGGTCAGAACAGTTCCTCAGCAGTTATGTGTATTGCTGTGTGTTCTATTCTGTTTTTATCTGCTGTGACCACAAATCACTATTGCAAATTAGCAACCATACACATCCAAGAAATAAACAAATATTTTTAAAGATTATCTAATGAGTTTATTATATTGCATGTTACATGTCCTTAAACTTGATTCTACTCTAATGACAGTTGAATTAAGAGAGAATAAATGAAATTTGAATTCTCTTACAGCACAGTGCAATTCATCTGAAATCTGAATGAAATCAAATTTCAGATGAATTGCACTGTGCTGAAAGAGAATTCAAGTATGCTTGCAGCATATCAACTACCATGGCAAAAGAAAGAACTAGAAAACTACCACAGGAAAATAGTTGAAAGGGGAGGAACCACCCAGAAGCACCCATTCCAACTGCTGAAATTCACATGGGAGCATTATTGTCACATTCTGATTTATGTTACTACAAGACAGATTTGTTCTTGTTATAATTGAGTAAATGAGTGAGTATCAAGCTAAAAACAGAAAAAAAATATTTGTTCAAAGGATAATATAATTTGAATGATGCTGGTGGAAAACAGAGCACGTTTCTCTTCCTCTAGGGCAGCTTTAGTTTAAAATAAAAAGAAAGGCAGTTTGGTGTTTTGCAGATCCAGTTCCTTGTTTGTAGGTCACACAACAACCTCTGGATTGTTGCAGAGTTGTTTGTTGATCCCTGGAGCAACCAGTATTCAACTAGAGAATTCCTACTGGATCCTCCAGATTCAAAAGCTAGCAACAAAACCACATTCTGGGTCCACAGAAATAAAATACTCTCAGATAGTATTTTATATTGCTCTCGAGAGCAATATAAATCTTTATTAAAACAGTCATTTCCTTTTCTTTCACTGAGGATAAAGAGCCTGTGTTAAGAATCCCTTTAGAATCATCCTCAAAACTTCTGAGAATTTTCCATTGCATCTTTGCACTTTGAACTGACCACCCAAGCTGTTGTACAACTACACTGTCATGTACGGAAACAGTCATATGAATCCAGATTCCAAGGAATAGCACAAACTTGCAAGTAAACTATTTGCAAGTGTATGTCATAAGCTAGGCCTGGTAACTTAAGCATGGGATGTCAGCATTTGTATAATTGGCAAATTATCAAGATTTTAACACAAATGGACTGAGAACTGCCACTTTATTCATTTAAAATATTTATATAGTCGCCCATCTTATAACAAACCCTGGGTTCTCCATTGTAACCAGAAAAATCAAGCTGAGTTTGGTCACCAAAGTAGCTTTACTAGCTACTTTGAGAAGCCTCTGATCTGGACCCTAGCAGATAGAACAGAAATTGGGGTCAGTTGACAATCCAAAATGAAAATCAAGGTTGAGGAAGATCTAGGCATGGGAGAAATTGGGGAAAGAGTGGACAGAGATTTTTTTTTCCATTTGCCAAAATCAGGTGGTATTCTCTATGTTGCATATTTAGGATTTTGTACATACAGAACCCAGAGCGTTTTGCTCTTTCCCATTTTCTTTTATTCTTTCAGACCACCAAGACATCTTCAATAGCACAGGAGGTTCTATCTCCCATTGACTCAATTTATTAGATCCACCTTTGGACTTTTTCTGTTGGAATAGTAGCAGTGTCACCAGTATTATCAAGGATTGCTGAAAAGGTATTGGAATAGACCAGTCAATATGGATTTGTTCTAATAGAGCAATTGGACTAATTGCAGAAACAAAACAGGGTTAATGATCATTAACTCTGAGACCATAAATGTCCATTCTTAATCAAGATAATGCAAAATGATGACATGGATATTGTGACACTGTTATTTGTTGTCTTGCATGTGAAGGACAGAATTTGCGTAGGGACATCATCATGCAGGTTTCATCACTTGCCCTCTTTGGCCCTGCCCAGACACCTATGCATGTGATTTACTGAGGATAACAAATCGCAGTAAAAGAGTTCTTCTGTCTTTCTCCTTGATGTTGGCTGCTTCCAGAAGGACCTTTCTTATGATTCACAATTACAGTAACTTCATGGAGCATCTCTTTAATGTTATCACATATTAGCCAGCAGCCTTATCTTCCATCACCTCATTTTTCTATTAAGAAGCATAATCTCTGGCAGCAACAATACATAGCCAATCTCTAAAGATATGGAGGTTCCACAACACCATGATTGTATCACTCTTGTGCTGGGGGAGACTTACAAATCAAAGCAATTTAAAATCATTATTATGAGCTTCGGGGCAAAGACACAATAAAAATGCATACACCTATAGTTATTAATGAAACTAAAAGGTTGTCGCAAAACATACAAAAATACATAAGAATAAATTAATATGGCAACAGTAATACAGACAACAGTGCCAGTCACCAAAATTTATGCTAAATTTCAACCATTGGTAGGACAACAATTAATTGTTTATTTGTGTAATAGCATAAAACAGGGAAAATTTGGAAAGGGTGCTGGTCTAATAGAAGATGTGACCAATAAGCCTTATGCTCTCTTCCAGGGGAGTATTTTAAAATAAGGTAGGTGGATGTTTTCTGAGATTCCCTGTAAAGAGAATAATGATCAAGCAGATCTCAGACTTAGGACCTGCAGAACCATGTGGAAGCCACAGAGGCTTCAATATCACAATGACATTCAATGTATCAGCCTAGAACTGCTGAGCTGTTATGAGAACGAACCCAGGCATTTCTGACATCCTGCACACCGTTTTTTACAGCTTTTTAAAAAATACATTAATATCCCGCAAGTTGCCAAAACACTACTTAAAGCCTAGTTAAGATCTAGATA